CTAGAGAGGGTTAAACCAGGCTGCTCCTTGGAGGCAAGGATTCTGGGGCTTCGACTGACATACTTTGGACATGTTGTAAGGAGAGACAGGTCTTTAGAGACGGACATCATGCTGGGTAGAGTAGAGGGACAGCACAGGAGGGGAAGGCCCTCTATGAGTTGGATTGATTCAGTGACTGGGGCAATCGGGATGAGTGTGTCAGAGGCAATGAGATTGACACAGGATAGAGCATGGTTTAGGGCTGTTGTACATAGGGTCACTATGAGTCACTAACGACTCGACGGGACATAACAACAACAACAACAATATAAATTAAAGATTGTATAAAACACAATGTATATGAATTAAACATACTGTAAAGGTATTATATGTGAAAATACTTTAAAAAAATATTGCAAGGAGATTCATCAATAACTCGTGTTAGGCAGATGACACAACTTTGCTTGCTGAAAGTAAGAAGTACTTGTGGCATTTGTTGCAGAAGATCAAAGAATACATCTATCTCATTGTCAAGAAAATAAAGATTTTTACCACTGGACCATTAGGCAACATTATGATAGATGGAGAAAAAGTTTGAAACTGTCAACAACTTCATCTTACTTGGATCCACAATTAATACCAATGGTACCAGTAGTCAGAACATCAGGGAAAGTAAGTATAATACTGGAAAAAGTTTGCAGTTAGGGACCTCTCCAAATTATTGAGGAGTAATGATGTCTGTTTGAGGACTAAGGTGCATCTGATTTAGGCCATGGTCATTCTGATCACTTGCTATGCATCTGAGAGCTGGGCAATGAATAAGAACGACAGAAGAATTGATGCCTTTGAGCTGTGGTGCTGGTGAAGAATGCTGAACATCCCATGGACAGCCAAAAGAACAAACAAGTATGTCTTGAAGAGGGTGTAGTCAGAGTACTGTTTGAAGGCAAGGATGAAGAGGCTTCACTTCACAGACTGAGGGCCTGTTGGTAGTAAGGGCTATTCCTTGAAAGAGGACATTATGAGAAGCCCATACTAAACACTAGTAATAAACTGAATGCTATCTCAGGATGCGGGGGAGGCATGTTCAAGCTAGAATTCACCCTGAGGCACCAAGGCAATCCTTAAGGGTTTACCTGATTCTTGCATTGTGTTTGCTGACCCCTTCCTCCTGAAGGTTTTCAATAGAAAGAGCTTGGCTTCATTTGCATTGAATTATCTTTGTGATTTACTTCTAATAATTCTGAATAAAGATGCAGGGAAGCTTGAGAAATGCTGGCCCTCTGTTTTTCATGCTCTCTGTTCTATTTCATTATTGGTAGTCTGTCTCATTATTAATAATTATAAAAATACTTTACCCTAGGTCTGCAACAAGGCATGATGCTCAAAAAGGTGAAGGTCAGCAAAGGACTGACCAGGTGGATTGACATGGTGACTGCTGCAATGGGTTATGATATGACAGGAAGTGAGGATGGCACAGGATAGGACAGGGTTCAGATCTGCTGTTCAGAGAGTCGCTATGGGTTGTATTTGTTTTAATGGCACCCAACAACAACAACATTATAAAAAACAATTAAGAGTAAGAATTTGCTCTTAAATTCAGATACTTAAGATTTTTACAATCTCACCTGATTTTCCACTGTGGCAGTCTGTACCAGATTCTGACTCAGATGCTGAAATATATTTCAGTATTTGGTGCCCACAGCTTATGGAACAAAACAGATGAATATATATGATATATGTGGTAGAAAAGTTTTACTTAGATATAATTTAAAATAGTCTGAATATTTAACTAAGATCCCAAGGTTTATTTTGGGAATATACATTTCTATTTCTCAAGGAAATAATATACTTTTGAAAGTCAACATTAGCATCTAGCATAACCCCTTATTACCTCAGAAACAGGAGTAAAACTGAGTATCATGTAAATTAGGCACTTATGAGTAGACAGTAAAGTGGCATATACTAAAATAATTTCCTATATTTACTGATATTCACCATAGGTAGGATACCATTATATTTCACCTCTGATGCAGAGCAATTACTGGGTAGGTAATTAATACCACCCAAATGAGAAAAAGTAACTTAGAATAAATCTACTAAATAAAGAAGAGGATATAGATTTAATCCATCAGTTAGTTATAAAATTAGAAAACAGACTATTTTATTCAAATATCTACACTTTATAAAGAAATAATAAATAAGTGGGGGACTTACCTATTACAAAGATTGCTCTCAGAATGTCTAGGCTGCTGATAAAAATCTGATGTATTGCCTGTAGATCTGTGCAAAGTAACACTTGGTTTGGTAAGAAAATCAGCAGTATCAGGAAATTCTATGGGTGAACGATTAGTTGGAGAACCAGCAGGCACTGGACCATGACTAGAAGAATTCACAGGACTCAAGCTGGGTAAAGCACCTTTAAAATGAAAAAGAGAAATAAATTAATAACTATGTATGTGTATATGCATGTATACTATGTAGGTTTGTGTATTTATGAACAAAATCTTTAAAGAAATCAAAAGTATTTACAATGAAATTATTAAATAAACTTCTACTTGAAGACATTCCACAAAAGCAGAACAAAGGCTGTGTTTGTCATCTTCACTACTGTCAGTGAGCAGCCTTGTTGGTAAGTGTTGTCGAGTCGTAGATGACTCATAGTGACCTTATGAAAGTAAGACCTAAACATTTGTTCACGTTTCTCCACATGCAGAGTTTCTGGTGGCAAGCTATTCTGGAAGTGGATGCCACTCCTGCTTCCAAGCTTGTTTTAATCAGAGAGTGCCACCAAACACTGTCCACCACGGGTGACCATTATTGCATTTGATACATCAGTGTCACAGTGTTCAGATTCACAGTAACCATGAGTTACCTCTGTACAGCAAATGAACAGACCAGTGCTAGAGCACTCAGAAGAATGTTTGACCAAAAACAATTAAAACCAGGCCTGACAGTCACAAATTAAAATCACCCACTTTTGGCTTGGTCGCATAACTTTCTATACACTAAGCCAACAGCAAGACATTATGTAATAGGTAACGATTTAAAAAGTATGACTAAACTACATAAAATATTGTTGTTTTCATTTGGCAAGAATTTCCCTAACCTATATTGGTTTTTATATTTCCTATTCCATGTGCATATCATCTTGATTATCCATATAAGCAAAGCATCTTTAAACTAACTCTTATTTCCAAGTTTTTCCTAATATTTACCAAATTGTCTGCATTATAAAATTATGTGCTAACAAAACTGACGTATGCATTTAAGAAAAATACACGAAATTTCTTCTGCTCATTCATTCATTAAACAATTATTTGAGAGCCTATTTCATCCTGGAAAATAAGCTGAGTTTTCTAATGGAGAACAGGGCCATGCCCTTGCAACTCAATAAACATAAAATCTGCTTCACTGCACTCAGGTCACACTTGCTACATCATTCACAAAAAAGCCGGCACATTTGAACTGCTGACACTTGGGTTAGTAAGTAAGTGCTTTAGCCATAATACCACCAGGGATTCTGTACAGTCTAGATGAGATATAAATGTGTACTAAGTGTTAAAACAAGGAGAAAAAGAAAATAAAAACAAAACCCCCAAAATTTTTCAGGAACAAATAAAATGGATGTCTTGCCATACATCTGAGAACTAGACAGTGAATAAGGATGACAGAAGAATTTGATGCCTTTGAGCTGTGGGGTTGGAGAATAGTACTGAGTATCTCATGGACTGCCAAAGAACAAACAGGTAAGTCCTGGGTAAAGTGCAGCCCGAGTTCTCCTTGGAGGCAAAGATGGGGAAGCTTCCTCTCTCTTACTTTGGACATGATGCTGAGAGAGGCTATTCCTTGGAAAGGTGGGGGTTGGTAGAAAGAGAGTAAGATCCTCAACCAGATAGGCTGACACAGTGACTGCCGCAATGGGCTCAAAAGTATCAGGGATGATGAGGATGGCTCATGATACTACAGGATTCAGTTCTGTTGTTCATAGAGTTGCTATGAGTTGTACCTGACTCAACAACACCTAACAACAAAAACAATTCCCACTGATTTACTCTAGAAATTTCTGTTGAGTGAATGAAACTAGAGGCAGTGTGGGTACATATGAGAAAAAGGCAGGTGGATTTAAAAATAAAGATCCAAGTAAACTGTGAGTTAGAGAGGAGGGTAAGCTAATATAAAACTATAGTATTTTTCTGGCAGCAGGAAAGATGTGCATTTTACTTAATCTTTGCAACAGCCCTGTGAGTTAAGAAATGTCTTAATTTTACACAGGTTAAAAACAGTCTCCAAAAAATATTAACTTTATTCCACTCATTCCGTTAACTCTGTGAGAATGCATTCCTTCCAGAACCATTACTACTTCCTGTTCAATCTCATTGTTTTGTTTAGAGATAGTTCTAAGTTTAAATAATGTTAAAGCTGAATGGGATTTTATAGATGATCCAATTTAATAACAGTGTTCCAGGAGTAGATAATGAAGACCAGAGAGGAAATAATGGATTTAAAAATGAAATTGAGGACTAGAGAAGTAATAATTTCTTTTCTTTAAGAATATCAGAAAATGACCAGAAATCTGACATATAGGCTGATAGGAACAAAGTGTAAATAATATTAAGATATACTTTGCTTATGAACCTTTGTAGCACAATGAGTGAGTGCTCAGCTGCTAACCAAAGGTTCAGAGTTCAAATCCACTCGCCATTCAGTCTGCTTCCATAAAAACCTGCCGTCTTGGAAACCCTATGTGATAGTTCACCTCTGGCATAGAGAAGTAATGTGTATTGCAATTAACTCAATGCCAGTAGGTTCAAGTATATTTTCTTGGAAAGAAATTTAAAATATCAAAGTAAATCTTTGAGGTAAGGGTAGAATGATGTAGGAGCAATCTAGCAACTCTAAGAAATACTGACTATAGTGCATTTTCATTGCTTTTATTTAAAAAAATTGTTATTGTGAAATATGATGGACATTTTATTATGAGATATTGAAAAGTTAACAATAAAAATGCCTCTCACTCAAGCGAAAAACATTATCTGTGGTCAGAGCTCATCTTCCTCTATCCCACTAATGAAAAAATTACTGTTCCTTCCTCAATTTATAGCTAATAATTTTTATTCTTTGCCCTTTTTAACTTTATACATTGAATGAGATAGTGTCTATATTTTGCTGACTCAACAATTTTAGAAGACATTTCCATGCATTGTCGGTGATGGCTGTTCATTCATTTTCAGTGTCATAGAACCTTACATAATATGAGCACAGCACATTAAAAAAATCCATCTAAATTGATTACACACACACACACACACACACACACACACAATGGTTCCAATTTGGGGCAACAAAATGGCTGTGAGCATTCTTGTATTTTTTTGGTACATACATGTGTATTTATCAGGGTATATATTTTAGAGTAGAATTACTCACTTTATTCTGTACTAATAAATTGTTTTCCAAAGTCATTATAAAATATCTTTTCTCATCTGTATTTTGTGAGAACTTCTGTTGCTGCAAATTCTTACCCATACTCTGTATCTTTAGTCCATTTCTTATGAAGCTACTGAACATAGGAACTTTTGCTTTTACTTTTTAAATTTTTTTAAAAAGAATTTCCTGATTACTGTGAAACTGAGAAACTATTATATATTTATAGGCCATTCATATTCTTTTTACTCAAGTACATGTTAAGTCTTTGGCCCATTTTTTTCTATGAAGTTGTTGAAGTAAACAGAATCTAAAGTTGCCCCCATTGGTCTCTGCCCTCTGTTGTTCATATTTTTATATACTTTGCTTTTTTAGTAACAAAAGTGGCATCCACTTCCTAAACAACTTGAACTTTGAGAAATTAGTTACAGAAAGGCTTCAGGTCTTTTGTTCATAGGGTCTCTATGAGTCGTGCTTGACCTGACAGCAGTCAACACAGCAACTCTTGGAGAACAGGTATATTTTTCCATGACTAAATAGGTGCCTTCCATAATTCCAACTGAAAGTCATTTTCAGTATTATTTTTTATATCTGGAAATTAGTCTTTTGATATTTCTGTTTGTTTTTGAGACTTTTTTCTCTTTCTCTTTAGTGTGCA